GGATGCCGGATGCCCGGGAGGAGGGGGCTGGGTGGGCCCGACCGGAAGACCCCTCCTGCCGGATGCCGGCCTGGGCCGGGTCTCCCGGGAAGGCTTGGGGCCAGAGGAGGCGGATGTGGGGCGGCAGAACCCCCACACATGGCAGGGTTGGAGGAAGTTCCTGGGGTCTCCCGGGGATGCGCCCAAGCTTTGCGGGTCCCAAAGTCTCCGAGGGTCAAAGTACTGTCCCACATTAGGCCCAGGTCACCCAGCTCTCGCTGCCATCCGCGATTGCTGCACCGCCGCTGTCTCAGGCCTGAGGCTTGCTTTCCTTCAGGGCCGGCTGACTCCGACCTAGACTTAATTTCCCCGCACATAGTCGGCACCTCTGTCGCTGTCCCCTAAGCCTAAGTCCCAGCCCTGTGCGTCCAGCTAGCCCCTCAAGCCTGCACAGGCCGAGACGTGGGGTGGCCTTGCCATGAATCTGGGACCTGGATGCTGATACCTGTCTGTTGCCTGGACCCCGGGAACCTTTGCTTCTTCATCTGAGAATGGCTGTCATCCTAGTCCTCTCCCCATGACTAGGGGGAGGGCTGCAGGCTGGCAGCAGAGCCGCGGACCCATTGTTGTCACTGTTGGCGAGATAGGGCCAGAGTGGACATAGGGAGGCTTGTGAAAAGATGAGGGAGAGCGAAGGCTGGGCATTTAGCTCAGTGGTTCTGCTGCCTGCCTCACAAGCGCAAGGATGCAAGTTCAATCCCCAGTACTGGAAAAAAAAAAAAAATGAGGGAGAGTGCTGCACAGGGCCTTGCTGTGTGGCCCTGGCCAGGTCCTTCCTCCTCTCTGGGCCTCACTCTGCCCACCTGTGCCAGCAGATGCCAGAGACCCGGCTCCTATCACCAGTCACTGGCTCCCCTGTCTTATCAGGGTGATGGGGCAGATCTGGGCAGGGATAGGTTGCAGTGGGTGGAGGTTTGGACTTTAGCTGGGAGGAGTTGGGAGCCTCAGAGATATCGACAGCACTGAGACCTGAAGACCCTTGGGAATGGGGCCGAGCCGGGCTCCACAGGAGCTCCGTGTTAAGACAGAGAGCAAATCCAAGGAAACACACCAGCAAATAGGGAGTAAATGGTACAGCAGAATGGTTGATGGATAGCCTCTCTGTTCCTAGGCCCAGGGGACAAGGGAAGAGAGAAAGAACAGTGCAGTGGCGCAAGCACTTGGGAGGCTGAGCAGGAGGATCACTGCGAGTTTGAAGGCCAGGCTGGACCATGTAGGGAGGCCCTGTCTCAAAAAGAAAAAAAAGGGGGGGGAGCGCCGATGAAGTAGAGAAAGGAGGCTTCTCCCTGCAAGCAGTTTCTAGAAGGGAGAAGCGGCCTGCGCAGAGGCAGAGCCTTCTGAAGGGAAAGATGCACGGGTGAGGCAGATGGAGCGCGCTCTGTCGCCAGCTGGGAGGGAGGCGGAGGCCCCAGCGCCCAGCTCCCGCCTGAGCCTGACGGGGCTCCCTCTCCTCAGCCCGCTGTGGGTGGCGCTGATGAGCGCCTTGATCCTGGGCCTGCTGTTCGTGTCCATCTACAGCTTGTCCCGAGGGGAGATCGCCTATGACTCACTCTACGCGGGTGAGTCCCAGGGAGGTGGCGAGGAGGACTGTCCAGGCCAGTCCGGGCCGGGGCCTCCTCCGTCAGGCTGGGCGCCTCAAAGGGCTCCCACCGCCCTGGAGAGACGGCAGCTCCTCCATTAGACGGGGGAGCCTCAGTCTCTCCTTGTAGACTTGGAGCTGGCAGGGCTGGGGTCCTGCAACCTGTCAGTGGGCCGGGGCTGCGCTTGGAGCCTCGAGTTAGACCGGCTCCTTCAAGTCCCGCCCCCTTACACCTAACCCGAGATGCGCATGCCCAAACACTGATCTGGGGGTCTTGGCCCCGCCTACACGCGGCTCGGCCCCACCCACGTCAGGTTCCCCACCCTCCCCGCAGTCTTCGCGGTCTTCTCCTTTACCTCGGTGGTGGACCTCGTCATCGCCCTGCAGGAAGATGGCTACGTGAAGGGCTTCATGGAGTTCTACACCAGGGAGGTAGGTGGTGGGTGGCTAGGGTGTCCCCTGTCCCCTGTTGTGTCTGAGCCCCACCCCGCCCCCAGGGCGAGCCGTACCTGCGCACGGCACACGGGATCTTCATCTGCTACTGGGATGGCACCGTGCACTACTTCCTCTATCTGGCCATGGCCGGCGCCATCCACAGGAGGTAGGCGGCAGGGTGGCTCCAGGAACCTCGCATTGGGCGGGGCAGAAGTGTCTGGGTGAAATCAGGAGGCCCCTCGAGGGCTGCAGCCAGGGAGAGTTCTGCCCAGAAAGTTCACTAGGTGTGGTCAGGGGTGAGGGTGGTGGCCACGTGGCTCATACCCACGCTGTCCCCGCGAAGCCACTGTTATCCCTGGTGTCCTTTCCATCCTGGACGAAACAGAGGGGACCGGAGCTGGGGGCCCAGGGTGGTCTCTGCCCTACCTGGGGCTGACACAGGGACAGGCACCCCGTATGACCCCCGCGTTTCTGGCCCAGGAAGCGGTACCGGAACCTTGGCCTCTACTGGCTGGGCTCCTTCGCCATGAGCATCCTGGTGTTTCTCCCCGGAAACATCCTTGGTAAGGATCCGGCTTCGGGGAGCCCCGTCCCTGCACCGGAAGCCCCCACACTGGGTCCCCCATCCTCTCCTCCTGTCTACAGGTCCCTTCTGTCACTGTCCACAGCCAGCCTCAGCCAGCAGCCTCCCCGTTTCCTCCTGGAGGTCGGGGGCACCCAGGGTAATCCTGCTGCCTCCCCAGGGTTTTGGGGAAACCAAAATACCAGAAAATACCAGAAGGGTATTTTAGGGTGGGCAGAGTGGAAGCTGTGTAGGTAGTGTCGGGAGGTGGGGCAGAGATGACAATCTGAACATTGGGACAGCACAGCAAAGACTCAATAAGGAAAGCACCTAAAGGTATTCATGGGACGGAAGACACCACTGAGGTATAAGATCTGTACTCACAAGGTAAACTGAGGCAGTCCTGGCTGAAGAGCACAGAAATAATTTGCGGGCACTGGGGAGCCATGGAAGGTCATGGAACAGGAGCAAGGTTGGCATGTGTACAAGATGTGTCTCTCCTCCACCATGGCAGGCAAATACAGCTCCGAGATCAGGCCCTCCTTCTTCCTGGCCATCCCCTACATGCTGGTCCCATGCTGGGCTGGCCTGAAGGTCTTCAGCCAGCCCCGGGCACCCTCCTACTGTCCCCCCAATGTGGTGAGTGCCATGTCCCCCCAGTGGCCCCTGAGTGAGCTGTATTGGAGCAAAGACCCTGTGTCCTGTGGGAGGAGGAGTTTTATCGCTGCCTGCCAGATTCCAGACCGTGCCTGCAATGTCCGATTCTCCTTGGGGGGCAGGTGCAGGAGGAGCAGAGAAAGGGGCTCCTGCAGCGCCCGGCAGACCTGGCCCTCGTCACCTACCTCGCTCTGGCGGCCTTCTTCACCCTCTTCCGGGGCCTGGTGAGCCTGCCGGCGGCCCTCCTCCCCGAGCCTTTGTTGTTGGAAGAGGCCCGCTGTTCTGCCCCATCCCCTGAGAGTGTTCGTCACCCCTTCTGGCCTGAGAAGCCCATGACAAAGCCCTGTTCCCTGCAGCTGTTCCTCGTCCTCCTCTGCCATTTCCTTCATGGGCAAGGCTAGAATCGCTAGAGTGAACACAGCAAGGGTCCTCGGACGGATACACACAGGTCTAGGAGACTTAGACCAAGCGATAGGGACCCTGTTGAGATGTGGGGGTGAAGTGACTTCCCATAAGAATGATGCTTGAGGTAGGTGGTTGATTTGTCTGTTTGCCCCAGGTAGTGCTTGACTGCCCCACAGATGCCTGCTTTGTCTACATCTACCAGTATGAGCCATACCTGCGGGACCCTGTGGCCTATCCAAAGGTGCAGGTGAGAAAGCAGGTGGGAGGAGAGGTCCTGACTGGGCCTTTTTGAGGCATAGGACCAGAAGCACAAGTCAAATTGGCAGAAACACATGTGGAATATATTGTTGTACCAAAAAGGTAACATGTGGTCTTCAGGTATGGCTGGATCGAGGTGCTCATGGCTAATTCCATCTCTGAGCCCTGTTGTCTTTGTCTGGCTCCCTTAATGGGGTGGCAGAGGCAGCTCTAGCTTTTCCATATACCCCACTCCACTACGAGAGAGGAAATGAGCCTTTATTATTACCCCAGAATATAAGCATGTGTCTGAGGCAGGCTATGACTGGCCAGGCCAGGGTTAGGACACAGGGCCCCCCGCCTGGGTGAGGTCCCAGGAGCCCTAGCTCCTCTCACAGGCTGTGGTCTGCACCACCAGATGCTGATGTACCTGTTCTACGTTCTGCCTTTCTACGCCCTGGCCACCTACGCCCTCGTGTTCCCGGGATGCTCCTGGCTGCCTGACTGGGCCCTGGTGTTTGCCGGAGCCATTGGCCAGGTGAGGGCACAGGCAGTGTGTGGGCAGCGTATCCCAGAATCCCCCAGAGTGGGGGAGACAGAGTTACCCCCGGCTCCCTGGAGTCAGAACTGGAAAAGGAAGAGGTGCAGGGGCAGAGGGGCATTACAGAGGAGGAAAGAGGTAGGCTTTGATGTACAATATGCCCTCCGGAAGTCACGGTTCAGAATTTGAGGCCTCGGTCCTTCACGGATTTTGCCTTAGAACCTAACCTATATTTGTGAAAATCGCAAATATCCTCTGCTATTGATTTTTTGGCCGAGGTTTGCAAGGGGCCTATCCGAGCGCATTGTTCAGTTCTCCTTGCTGCTGATTGGCTGCCTCACCTGCATTCCCTCCTAGCACCGTAGCTATCTGAGTGTTCTGATTTCATTCTTAAAGCCCTGAGATGCCGCCGAGTGTTTTATTAATATAGTATTTTATTATATTACATAACTGCAGGAGACACGGCATATTTAGGGTTTAAACTATAAACACGGGCATTTATAGGCATTTTTCTGACCATAGCTGCAATTCTCGATTTTTTTCACAATTTGTGGGTGTTCTGGGAATTAACTGCTGCGGACACCAGGGGTCCACTGTATGCAGAGGCGGTCTCGAGATCGGAAAGGGAATATTCCTGGAGTGGGGACAGCATAAGGAAAGGCACAGAGGAGGACAGTGACTTAGCAGCACTATAATGTAGGTAAAGGCAGAGGCAAGAGAAGTGGGCAGCTGCATGCTGAGGGTTTTGAGCAGGCTTGTGTTGAGGGTGATGGGAGCCGTGGAAGATGTTAGAGTGGCGGAGGACCCAGTCGGAGCTGGGTTCACAATGGGAAGCAATAAAACCCGCATCAGGCCAAGGCAGGAGGGCCGGGGAAGATTTCTATGGGGGACAGTGGGCAGAATTTGCATCCCGAGAGGTTAGGAGAAGGTCAGATGGGCGTATGCGGAGTTCAGATGCACGGCGAGAGGATGCGTGAGCCACCCGAGCCAGCAATAGGAGAACGGGACGCCGCGGAAGAAGCAGGTGGGGCTTGGCGATGCCAGGCGGCCCCCGCCCACCTGCCTGACTGCGTCCTCCCTGTGCGCAGGCGCAGTTCTCCCACATGGGCGCGTCCTCACACCTGCGCACGCCCTTCACTTACCGCGTGCCCGACGATGCCTGGGCCCCTGTCTTCATCTGCAACCTGCTCTATGCGATCGGCCCGCACCTGCTGGCCTACCGCTGCCTGCTGCGGCCCGCCTTCTTCCTACAGCCACCGACCACAACCCCGCGCCCCAAGAAGCAGCAGTGAGGGCTGCGGCCCAGTGCTCTGTTTACAGGCACAGCCACCCCTGCGCTGGAAGTGGGGTAGCGCTTTTAGCAGCAGGACGGAAGTCTCCAGGGGTCTTCTGTCCCGGCTGTGTCGGCCTCAGGCCAGTGTGTGGGACAGGACACCCACAGCAGGGCTTCTCGCAAAGAGGGCCTTGCTGAAGTTGGGTATGGTGGCCCACGCCTGTCACCCAGCATTTGAGAGGCCGAGGCAGAAGGATTTCTGTGACTTTGAGACCAGCCTGGGTTACATAGGGAGATCCTGTCTCCAAAACAAAACAAAACAAAAACCAAGGAGGAGGGTACTTGTTCAACTTTCACCAGGCCCCAAAGGCCATAGGAACTCTTGTGCCCCTGCCCCGAATTTACCCATCATCCCCTTCAAGGATCTTTTTAATAAAAACCCTTTTGATGCCTAAAATGCCTAAGTGTTCAGGGTGCCAGGGCGAAGGGACCCTCTTCTTGTACAGCACAAGGGTCAAGGTGGTTGTTGTAAGTGTGAGTGCCAGGGGGCAGAAGTTGGCTTCTGGTTGGTATGCACAGCTCCATCTTCCAGATGGGGGAAACTGAGGCTCAGAAGGGGCAAGATACCTGCCTGAGGTCACAATCAGGAGAGAAAAGCCACTGCTATGCTGTAAATGGTAGCACACGCCTGTAATCCCAGCTACTAGGGAGGCTGAGGCAGGAGGACTACAAATTCAAGGCCAGCCTGGGCAATATTAGCAAAACCCCGTCTCAAATAAAATAAAAAGGGCTGGAGATGTAGCTCAGTGTGAAGGCTGTGGGCTCAAGCCCCAGTACAGGGGGGGCGGTGGCGGGAGTCATTACTCAGCCAATAAAGCACAATGTAACTAATAGCATGGCACAATTACCAAACACCTACTGTGACCGCTAACCTCCACTACTCCAGGCAGGATCTCCGCTCCCTATTCCAGGTTGGGAAACAGGCTGCAATGGGTGAGGGTCCTTGTCCAAAGGACCTGGGCACAGCTGAGCTAGGGACCAGGCCCCAGCCAGTCAGGCCAGAGAATCCATAAGCGCTTCTGCTGTCTGGCTGACCTGGGCTCCTTTTAGGGGAAACTAAGGCTAGGAGACGGCTGTGGTTTTGGGAGACGTGCTCACCATTTCCTGGGTTGTGATTTTAGAGTGTTTCTCCTTTCTTCAGTGCTGGGGATTACACCTAGCATCTTGCACATCCCGGGCAAATGCTCTACCACGGACTTGGTTTGTGATTTGTGAATCACAAGTGGTCGGGGACCACTCCCTCGCTCCTCTCCCGCTGCCAGTACTAACTGGTACCTGTGCGGGGCCCCGCAACGCTCCTCTCCCAGGAGACCAGCGCATCCTCCGAGGCCTCACAGCCATAGTGAGGCGGAGTCCTCAGATCTCTTCAGTGGCTGCTCACCCCACGGGCAGATGGGTAAACTGAGTGCTGCAGACCAATCCCCTTAACCAAGTCACTGAGCCCTCCTCTCCCAGGCACGATATGCGATATGAAGACTCTCTACACCCCAAGCCTCCTACTTCACTTTAAAGATCGCCAAACTGAGGCCGAGTTTCCTCCGCGGCCCAAGGTCAGCCAGCAAGGGCAGAGACGCGGCTGTGCACGCAGAGCCCTGTGCACGCGCCAGTGCCCGGGTCCGCCCTTCCCCGGGACGAGCGCCGCTGCGTCCCCTT